GTGAGAAATTATTTCTGATTTCATTTTTCCCAGATCCTCTTTTGTTGCCAGTTCAGAGAGTCCAGGTGGTTGAGTATCAGAGTGTTTCATCTTGTTTCCCTTTGGTGTTGCTGTAGGTGACCTGGAAGTCTGTTTTTGAGGCTTGTTTATGTGTCTTCTCATTTCCACGGGGTGGGGGAGTGCTTCTGGGGCCCACGTGGCTCACCTTCTCTGCCCTAGGAGCTTGGGATGGCAGTGGGTGAGCTTCCTTCTGGGTGCTAGGACCGGCTCAGCTTCTCTGCCCTAGGAGCCTGGGATGGAGGTGGGAAGCTTCCTTGTAACTCAAATTTCTAATGACTTAAATAAACAGAGGAAAAAAGTTGGCAAAAGTAACTAAAGTCTAAGAGTAGATTTTCCTGTCTAAAAAGATAGCTAGATCCAGGATTGAAAAGTCTTTATCCAAATATTAGTGTTTCTCTGATTCTTAGCTCTGATTCCTTTCCTTATTTTTTAGGTAGCTTCTCTCCATTTAGTGACAAGATGGCTACCAGCAACTCCAAAATTCTCTCTCTTGTCATCTTCACAGCCTCCATAAAAACCATGTGCCTCTCTCCAACACAAAACATAAGTTATTTTAGAGAAGAATTTGTGTGGGTGTTTTTCTTTTCCCAAGACTCTCCTGGTGGATTATAAGTCCTTGTTGCTCAATAATATACTTTAAGTTCCTTGTGCTTTCATTCATCCATCCTACACCATGGCGGACATCAGTTGTCAATCATGACATATTTACCCACTGGTTTCAGAAGCTTCTCTGCAATGTTTTTCAACACTAGACTATAAAAATGCATTTCTACTTAGTAAGATCTGAGTTGTGAGTTGAAAGCTCAAATTTCTTGCAAACAGGAATGCACATACTACTGTCATTATCTTTGGATTTTTTTTGTTTGTTTGTTAAAAACTCATCAACCACTTAAAAAAGTTTTCCAGAAGGCTCTCTGGCTGTCAAAGATAAGTATTTTCTGCAATAAAACCTTAATGAACTAAATAATAGTGAGAGTGAGGCACCAAAGTGTTGTTTTATTCTTCTTCACCCTCTTCTTGGCCCTCTGGTCACTCCTGTAGAACATGAGTTTACACTTGATCTTAGCCAAAAGCTGAGAAGTAATGCATAGACCATAACTTTAACCCTAAAATCCAGGAAACTTTCTTCAGAGCCATCCAGCCCATGCTTATTGTGAGCAGGTTCTCATGAATATTATCTATAATGATGTCATTTTCAAATTAGAACATGAATATTTACTGCTACAATATATGTAGCATAATTTGATTTGGGAGGATTGCATTAGCTAACTGCAATTTAGGCATTTTAAAGTAAACACAGAGTGGCAATGTTGTATTAACTAATAACCCCATGGAAATGACAGAATTACTAGGACTTCTGGGGGAAAGGAAAGCAACACATTCTCTCTTGTCCTTCCCTTCCACTGTCCCTACCTTAGTCAGTGACTGATGACAAAGGTAAGTCTGCAGAGGCTGACAGCTCCTTTCTCCACTTCTGTCTGGGCCCAAATCAACATGGTGGTGCCTGTGGTGGACTCTCTGCATAAGTGGCAACAAGGTAGAACCAGTAAGTACTCTGACAGGCAATTGAAAACTACTTCTGAGTTAATAGGATGAAAACCAGTAGTTGTATGAAGGTTTGTTGTGCTTACCCGGACAGGTTTGTTGTTGTTGTTTTTTTGGTACTGGGGATCAAACTTAGGACCTTGCACTTGCAAGGCAGGTGGCAGCACCACTGAGCTAAATCCCCGGCCCCTGATAGTTTTTGATAACTGAGAAAGCCAGCGCACAAGGATGCTTCTCTGGAGGGAAACCATGACCTTCCTCCATGTTCTGGCTATTTAGGTCTAACACATTAGGAAGTTTCTTACCAAAAGGAAAAGGAAATTATGCTCACAGGGATTTGGTGACAGCATTCTCTGTAACCTCAAAGTCTCAGTCAGCTGAAGCTAATGTCAGATCTGCAGTCGCTCAAGGTCTGGTGACACAGAGAGATGAGCACTGAGTGTGCAATAGTGATGTTCATGGTAATTGTCTGGCAGTGGAAGTATAAGCACAAGATCACTGAAGCACGGAACCAGGAAGCAATGGGTTTTGACCATGAAACTATGGCTTTTTGCATCTGAGCTTTGAGAAGCAAGTAAGATTTTCACATGCCAGAAAACTCTTCCAGGCAGAGGGGATAGCATCAGTAATGCAGAGGAACCTTATCTGGAGTGGATTCCCAAGGTAAGAACATTTGTTTTTTTTTTTTTTTTTCTGTAGGCAAAGGAAGCTGCAAAGGTCCTATGGGCAGCTCAATAATCTCATCAAAAAATGCCTTATGAACATAATGTGTGCAAGGGCTCAGAACAGAGCTTTCTTTTCATTATGCACTTTACCGTGTCTCCCAGGCAGACACTTCTGCTGAGCGGTCATTTATTTCCCCACAGCTTTGGTTGAATGCTGCTCTAGGCTTGAGCTGTGCTCTGTCCACAAGACTAGATGCACGATCTTTGCAAGGGCAGCATGAGTGTGATTGATCATCCTGGCCCTGTTCTCTGCATGGGACAAACACTCAAAGTTGTGTTTTGAATATGACTCCCCACTGTCTTAGCTACTCTTGTCATGGATGAAATAAAATACCCAAAGTTACAGGAGGAAAAGTTTACTTCAGCCCACAGTTTGAAGGGGTTTTAGTCCATAGTCAGCTGGCTACAAGGCAAGTTGGCATGGAAGAGAAGTGATGTTTATAGCATGGCAGGCAGAAGGCAGTGAAGCAGCAAGCAGTAGCAGGAGCAAGACTGCCTTCTTTCTGTCCTTCTATATCTCATCCAGGCTACAAGCTGCTTGATTGGTACCACCCACACCTGGGATGGAGCTTCCATTATCCACACCCAGAACTATGATAAACCAATTTAGATGTCTCATGCCCTAAATCCCAGTATCACACACCCTAATATAGCATCTCACACCCATGATTGAGCCACCTTCCAAAAGCCCCACCTGTGAGTGCATGAGGCTTTGAGGGGACATCTAGATACAAGCTATAGCACTCACACTACTTTTTTACCCAATCAGACCCATCACCTAAGACTTCCCTGAGAGATCCTCTTGTACTTCCCTGAAGGATCAGGCCTGAAATCCCTGACTTATTTTTACAACCCCTCCTAGTGAGAAAGCCAAAAATCACTGACAAAGCTAAACTCTCTAAGGTGGACTAGATGAAGAATGCTTTCAGGAAAAGCAAGCTCATGAGTCACAACTTGAAAAATACTTTAGGCATCTTGTGTTTTCCTTCCACACATCTATTCCTTCTTCTGTTGGAACAAGAATCTTGCTTTTCCTTGAAGAATCATCCTCCTATCAATCTCAGACAGTGTGGTTTTGGTGCCTGGCCTCTTCCTACACACAGTAGATAAAGCATTTACAAACTGACTCAACCTAGCCAATAGCTGTACCATCCTGCCTGACCCTCCTGCTTGACTCAGGAATGTTTATAAATAGGTCACTTTAATGAGGACCAATTTCATAATTTTTGCTCCACCTGATACCTCATCTTCTCCTAGGGACTGTGATCAGCAAGGCCTCTGGAGTGAGCCTGCCTAAGACTATAGCCAAGGGTCAAAAAGCAGAGCCATAAGATGTAGAGGGAGTAGTGTCTGTTCCGAGTAAGGGAAAGGTTCTAGGTGGCTCCTTTGCAGTAGAAGCATCTATGTAAGGCATCAGGACACTTTCTGAACCAGGATGGAACACTCCACCCAAGTTTTTTGTCAGAGCAAGCTATATTGCCATCTAAAGACTCTGCAGACTAAAACCTCCTTCCAGAGTGGAACCAATGACTACTAATGGAGTAGGGTTATTGAAGGAAGCAGCCTACTGAAGAACTTTAATCCTGAAGTTGAAGAACTGGTGCAAATAGAGTGCTGTAACATCTTGAATTATTTCACATCCCTCTATCTTTCTGGATACCATTGCCTCTCCTTGAATAACTAAAAGAGTCATTAGGTTCCATCCATTTCCTCCTATCGCCCATTATCCACAGAGCACACAGAATCATCTTTTTAAAATAGAAATTCTGTTAAGTCATTTTCCTCCTTAAAATCTTCTCATCCAAGTGTGAGTAAAATTCCCATTTCTTACCATGACTAAGCTGTCCTATAACTTCTGTCCCAATCACTTTCTCTCACTCATCTCATACTTCTCTACAATCCAGCTCTACTAGACTTACTTTTTTTCTCAAACACTTCAAGCTCTTTTTTTTTACCACATATTTGTGCTGTTCCTGAATATACCTCATATTTTTTCACAGCAAAATTTGCAAATTTCTGCTCCACCTAAAAAGCCATTTCACCCGAGTCCTTCTTTTGTCAAATGTTTCTCTCCCTCAATCAGTGCCCAACATAAGTAACCCTAGCAATCTCTTTTGTAATATCCAAACACATAATTATACTGCCTCTTAATAACTGAAAGTAAATTGCAAAAGGTCAGGGATCTTGCATATCTTGTCCACAGCAGTTTGTGTAAGTTCCTTCAATAATCCCCGTATTCCATATTCAATTAGTATTGATTGAATAAATGGACGAGTGGATGGATGGATAGATGGATGGGTGAATAGTCCAATGGAAAAATGATGATTTTCCATGGCAGTGCAATTTCTGATCTCTATTTAAGACAGATATCATCAGCTCGATTTTAGTGTATGTGCTGCCGAAAGAAGCATGAATTATCTCCAACTCGAAGTTCTGAACTCAGGCAATTTTTAACCAAAGAATCTCCAGCTTTTAGTGTCCCAGAACAGGAAGAAGCAATTTGTTCATCAGAGATCACCTCCAAATGTAAAAGTAGATAATGCAGATAGGAATTCATGTACTAGTGGTGTCAAGTGTAATGCACCTTGATTTTTCACATCTATTCCATTGAGATGACTATTAACTCCAAATTGTCATGTTGTATAACATATCTTATTCTGCAAGTAAGAGAAGAATGTTGGAAACCAATTACAACACAGTATGTACTTCGTCTATGGACACTTGTCTTCCCTACTTTAAGAATGGTCTCTTCTTGAATTAACTTGAACACATGTAGCTGTGCATTTTGCCCAGAAGATACCAGGTAGCCATGGAGTTCAAACTCTTGATGTGGATAAAAGTGGTTCTGATCCTGCTTTCCTTCCTGCAGGGATAATACTCCTCTACATCATTCATCACTCCACTCCCAGAGAGGTGGCTGAAAGCTCTGGGCTGAGAACCTCAGCAGTCCTTTGGCCTAAAAATGTGTCTGTGGGTTCAGAGACATGTTCTGTGTGTTCTTTTCATCAAAGCAATGCATTGTAATGTAAAAATTCAAAAGGTGAAGAATAGGTTATTATGAAAGACAAGTATAATGTACACCCCTCTTTATCATGCTTCAGAGATAATTTCTTTAAATATTTTCTGCTTGGTTTCTCTTGGTCTTTACTTTCATTGCTCTAAATAATACAAATATACACATATTTTGAGACAATAACTGAGACAATGTCAATTGACTCTAAAAGAAGAAATAAGGATTTAGCTCACCTATACTTCCTCCTCTTTCCTCTTGACCATATTTGATGTATTATTTTTGATTCTTCCATTGATAACATTATTTTCTAAATTTTATTAAGATTCTTTTTGGCTCTCTAAGCTGCGACCGGCCAGGTGAGATAAGCAGCTTGAAGCTCCGCTGCATCCTGGGCCCCGCCTATGGCACGGTGAGGTCCGCTTAGGCCCAGGTACCTCCCCCCCGCGCCCCCTCCCCGTGCGCCTCTGGCCTTCTGGCTTTTTTGCTACCTGGTCCCTCACGACAGAGGCACAGGAGATTATAAAGACCCTTGTCCTGAGCTCCACAAGATAGAGCAGAAGTTAGTAACAGAAAGAGGGCTTCTCATGTTCCTGGATGAAAACTGAAGCTCAGCAGAAAAGTAAAGAGAATCTCTACAATAAAGGCATATCAGACCACTGTACTTGGTCTGCTGCTGGCTTGCTGAGACTCATTGACTCGTATATGCACACGGATTCCTATGTTACCTACTGTGACAGCAGAGACATACCCTGAAGGAGAACCGTAATTCCTACTGCTATTTGCATAAAAGAAAAAAAATTTTTTTCTCTTATTTTTAATTCTTAATTTTTACTTTTTTTCTACTCTTCATAGTTTTACTCTTCTTTGATTTCTTTCTTTTATCTTTTATTTCTCTCTCTATCTCACTTGTTCTCTCGCTGCCTCACATTGGTCCTCATCTCCCCATTTGTTCCTTTCTGCACTGAATTTGGATTTCTCCCTTATTGGTTTTTTCCTCTCTTTTTCCTTCTCTTGATTATCATTAGGTTTAAAGGAAAGTAAATTCGGTATCTAGCCTCCCTGTTGCTGTTAGGTGATTCTATTCACATCTTTGTTTTTCATTCTGCCTTTTACTCTTGCCTTTATCAACTTCTTAGAGTTTGTGTGATCTTTCTGTGCCTTCTGGCCTCACTGCTAATCTTACCTGTTCTTTCTGCCTGTCCCTCCCTTCCCAACTCCTTTTAACTCCCCACCCCAAAGGGGAAAGATGCTATATTGAAGAGTTTATTCATTATGCACTTGTGTTGGGTTGGTCCTCAGTTTTAATTTAACTCACATAGTTAACAGTGATAGATTAATAACTAC